GAAAGAGGGATTAAATTTGAGATTCTCAGACAGGCCTCATAATGCAGTGAATTAAGCCTGTGAATTAAGAGGTGGATCCCATATGGCTGACCATGGTTTGAATCCCAGCCCTGGTGGCGTGAAAAACATGCTGGGTGCATGTGTGCCTAAAATCCTGATGGGAATAAGTGAAGGAAAAAGAATTGTACCATGACTATGTCCCATTGGGAATACTTTCTCTCTCTGGTGCACACTCATACTGTCTGCAATAAAAAAAAAAAAAAAAGAAAAGAAAGAAAGAAAGAAAAAGAAAAAAGAAAAAGAAAAAAAAGAATTTTTTAAGATTAAAAATACTTAAATTTGGGACCAGCAGTTGGCATAATGGTTACATCACTGGACTCCCATGTAGTCAACCGCTGTTCAAGTCCCGGACCCGGTGGCTTAAACTCACTCTGGGTGCGTGTACATGTGTGCCCAAGATCCCAAGAGGAGAATGGATGAGAAGGGATTGTGGCATGGCCATCCCCCCTGGGGGGGTGGGTGATTTCTCGCTTTCTGTCTCTATGTCTCTGTCTGTCTGTCTGTCTGGTGAGCACACGCACCCTATAGCAAAAACCTCTCAAAACAAAAGAAAACAAACTTAAATTTGAGGTTGTCAAATGAACTTTTGGAATATAAAGGGGAAATAACTATTTAGTAGTTAGGTGAATATTTAACCGCAAGCCTAATACTTGATCTCAGTGGTCTTTGACATTAACATCAAATACTTCTGTCTTTCACAGAGTCACTCACAGGAGTTGATAATGAATATTGCCTGAGATCATTCAAAAGTCAAAGTAATTCAGAGGTACTGGCCAGCAAATAGCAGAGTGCAATTAGATTAAGACTTTCCATCTGAAAATCTCATTGATTCATCCATGTCTCCCCCTCGTCTTTGGTATCGCCCTAGAGCAGGCCACCAGCTCTCACTTGTGCTACTGAAACAGCCCCACATCGCTACACACATCTTTCTTTTCTGTGTCAATTGCCTTCTCCATAATGCAGTTAGCGTGACCTTGTTAATGGTCACTCTTCTGCATTGGACAGCCAGTATCTCCCAATTTCTCTTAGGATAAAGACCAAGATTCTTAACACACTTTCCAAAGCCCTGAAAGATCTGGCCCCTGAGTGTTCTTCTAGCTCATCTCCTTCTAGCATCTCTACACGGCAACTATGGCCTACTTAGTTCCTTGGCTAGCCCCAACTCTTCCTGGTCTGCTTATTGCTCTTTCTTCCTGAAATAT